AAAAAAAAAAAAAAAAAAAAAAACAGAAAAAAAGGAAAAAAAAAGGAAGAAGGCAAAAGAAGGATGCAAACATTTAATTCGTGCCCTTGCTCGTCGACTTTGTAATTTTCTTGAGCATGGGAACAGTTGCCACCGGGGAGGGAAAGCCCCCGGTGTATGTGTACGACGTTTGATGATTCTCTGATTAAAGTAATACACTTCCGAGAAAGGAGACAGTCGTGGAACGTTTGTACAAATTCGTGCACGTGTTGTTCCGTGACGACGAACCCTCGTCGTTACTTTTTTCTCCTCTCGCGTGAGGAGGAGTTTTGTTATTTGGTTCAACGATCGAGATCGAGGAATTGCACTTGGTGTTAATTACCGAGTGGTATCTCTTCAATTTTAATTATCAATCGCGTGTTGTTCCTTCAAATTAAAATTTTCGATCGAATTGAATTTTTCTCGGTCAGTTTCAAAAGCCCGAGTTGAACTGAATTCCTCTGCGATCGGAACTAAGGAACAAATCCGTGATTCTTCTTACTGATTACCAAAGTTGTCCATGTTGCGATTTCAGAAATAGACGAATCTCACAGTTTCGGAAAGGAATCCGATTCAAGGGAGAAAAAGAAACGCATTTCCTGTTGGAATATCCGTGACAAACTACAGACTGCTCTTTTCTATTCATGCTCTCTCCTAAGAGAGTATCCTAGAAGTGAAGAGGCTTTTCCAGGCTTGTGTGTGCCTTTCCCAAAGGAGAGCTAATTTGTCAGGACTGTTATAAACGTGAGTTAAAAGTTCTCAATGCTATTACACAACAGCCATTTGTTTTTTAAGTAATATACTTAATTCGAAATACAACAGTATAACAATATAATAATTAATATAACACTGATATATTAATACATAACACCTGACGTGTCCATTTCATTTAAATGAAATGTTTAACATTTCAGTAAATACGTGTGCAATCCTTTTCGTAGTGCAATTTGCTCAGAAATACGATACAATTGTTCAAATTTAATCGAAAAATATTTTAATCGTTCGAGTTATTTCAATCTACGATTATAAACGATTAATTGGAACAATTTTTGCTAAATTTTATTCTTATTTCTCAGGTTGTTTAACAAGAAACAATCCTCAAATCGATGTTCCAACAGTTTGAAGATTTTATTTAATTTAAAGAATTTCTGATAATTTTATTCTAAGAAACTATAATTTCTAAAAACACTAACTTTTCTTTAATCGATACTCTAACAATCGGAAAATTTCATTTTATGTAAAAAAAAAAGAGGAAAAATAGATTTTAAACGTTCGAGTTATTCTAATCCATTATAAATGATTAAATTGAATCAATTTCTGCCAGATTTTATCCCTACTTCTCAATTTCTTCGCTATTCGAAGAAACTATCCGAATAGATATTCGATACAACAATTTTAGACTAAAGACTTTCACTCGTGTTTTTTTAAATTTTTTTTTTAAATCGTTTTCTCACAAGACGAATTTGCTCTTCGGAAAATCGACGCTCCGATGATCCGGCGTGACTCGGATAACCGGGATTCTACCCGTGCATGAAGAAACAGCAGAGTTTTCCAGCCGGGCTGAAGCCACTCGGACATTGCACGACCGTGTTGTTAGCGAAGCGGATCGTGCTCTCCTCCGCGACAACTTGTGCAATGTTGCAGCAATATCGGGCCGGTGTGCCCCTTTTTATTTTCCTCTTCGC